AGAAATCGGATATACTTGAACATATTGTTCTATTGTGTCACCTCGAACGTTACCTGGCCATGTTTATGATCCTCACAAAGAATCTCAAACGCAACCTAATCATCATGATGATGATATTCAAAATCATATTGCAAAGGAAGCGGACCTGGCCAATCAACAACACACACAAGTGAAGCTAAAGAGTGCTGGTAAGCAATTGAAGTTAGATGAATAATGGAAAAAAAATAATTATTATATTTATATAACTTATGTAAATTTATGTTTTGATTTTCATCACTTGTCAATTCGAAATTGTGAATTCAACATAAAAGATTAAAAATAAAAAAATAAAACTCCCATTTTAATACTGAACACTTCCCATATCAAAATAGATTTGAAATATTCGCATTAGAAACTAGCCGATCATCAGCGTGCCTTAAAATGATATTCGGCGTACGCTTCAGCCCTGAAGAAATTCAGTTGATTCCTGAATGATTCTTCACAATCTCAAAGACGCTGTTTTTCCAGGAGAATCAAAGACTAAACTCTCATAGCCAAAATGAAGTAGCACTTTTGAGACCTCGATTATCTATCCTGAAACTGAATACAACCTAAATATCTTCCAATACATACCCCGTTCAAGAAAATTCGTTACGAGATTTCGAAATTCAGACTTCAGATTCAGATTTTCCGACCCGATTCCTCTTCGTCAACCTTTAGAGGATATCAATGGTTCCTAAAAAACAACATTTTCTTCATCCGAAAAACTGAACTTAAAATTTCTAAAATCTGACCTCGGATTCAGATTCCCGTACCCTGATAATCTTCAGGATAGTTACATAAAAAGGCTTTTAAGTCTAAACCGAAGGAAAGCTCCCATCATGTTTTTTTGACCTGCCACAATCAGACAAACAAACGCATTTTACTTCATATGAGTCTCCCTACCGTCGAGGATATAACTCTTGCATGTGCTTTCACTGTACATTGGAAAATAATTTTCATTGCAGTTCTCGGAGATCTTGACCAGGAAATGGATGGCAGTACTCAAACCTTCTTTCTCTCACTGTTGTACTCAACATGTCTAAGCTAGAGAATACGGCTCCTTTCATTTTTCCAAACAATAAACTTCTTATTTGTGGGAAATTCACACAAGCCCGATGCTTAAGATATTCAAGACACCTATATGTACGTTCGGTCTTCCGTCAAACTCTTTATTGCAGTATTTTTCACGAAAACATACCACATCCTGAACATAGACTTCATTCATGAAGCAAAGTTCGATCGAAACGACCGAAAGCCTTAAAATGAGAAAATTCATTTCTGATTGGTCACTTCGCGATCAATGAAGCCTCAGCGGAAGAAGTGGGCTTCGGATTCGGATTCAGGGACCGCGATAACCTGTAGCAGTATTCGATCAAAACGGCCAAAAGTTTTAAAATAAGGTAAGTACTTAACTTCTTATAAATGCTTTTTTGACCCCAATCAAACAAGATCGCAAACGCATTTTATTTCGTATGACCCTCCCTACAGTCGAGGGAATATTTATATCAAGATTTCTAAAACTTTCTATCAACATAGACTCTATATTTCAAATAGAAGGCCCCCTTTAAAATTTCATCTGCTTTGTCATTATAGAAGACCTGGGTCTTTTATTCTGGAGGGGGGGGGGGGGGGTGTTAGGCATTTTGTGCATAATTAGATACGTAGTAGGAATAAAAAAAGAATGATACGACTGTGAAAAGTCAAAACATATGAATATTTTTTCTTGCTTTATTCACTTTTGAATCAAGCAAACATTCGATGAATAAAATTATACAAAACAATATGTTTTCAGCTTCAACGCAACGTTATAGTCGATCAAAGTAAAGAAATCAGTGTAATGAAACATTATTGATGCAACTGTAGTCGATAAAAAGTCAAAGCATTACTCTAGTTGATCATGTTTAATACAAAAAATTATCTTTTCGTCAGCAACTTTAGTAAGATCGAGAATATCACTTAAAGGGGTGATGAATTTTGAAAATAATAAATACAATAACATGAAATAACACCCAGTTCCTGTTCATCTCTGAATCATGAGAAAGCAGAAGGAAAATATTTTGTCGATATACACACAATAGCTAATTGAAATTAAAAACATTAGTTGATGAGAGCACTGTAAAATAATGTCATTGAAGGGGTGAGAGAACTCATCATATCTTATACTTGATATATTTTGAAAATTCGAATTATTCTTTTCTGAAGGAAATGGAAAATGAAAACTAACTAGATCTAAAAATGTTGTAGGATTCAATTTGAACAATATTGGAAACAGAGCCATTATGAATCAACGTTTGTTGTGCATTCGAAGCTTCATAAACGCTCTCACGAACCATTTAGACTCAAGTGGTTCAAATATTCAAAAAAGTTCAAAAACTCGAAGCAGAGAAAATATTTTTATTTTGTAAAAAAACAGAGCCTAACGGCTTCTTGGTTGATATCGGTTACAGCTTTTTATTTCTGTAAACTAGGGAGATTTGCAATGTGAATGATTGTCTTATGAATCTTTTTAGTAAGGACCAACTACTCTACCAATCTTCTGAGTTCGGTTGTCTTATCTTTTCTCTTTGTAGCAGCTATAACAACTGTTACGCCTTTTCTTTCAAAGTTCTTCATTATTTTGAGGAGTTTCTATCTATACTTAAAAATAGACTGCAAACACCTCTAACAAATAACTCTTCAGTCAGACCACAACGCGTCCTGTAGGACTTTTCATATCTTATCTTTTATTCTTTTAGAATTATTTCGAGCGGATACGAAAAAAAAAATAGTTGATAACTATTTTATTAAAGATAAAATCTAGGTTTTAGCGGTTAGATTACACCCAATGTGTTATCAGCAATCAAGAAGAAAGTATTGTATTTAGCTTTCGATCTTGGTTAAAAGAAAAACAAGGCGAGTCTCAAAATATTTCTCTTCATAGATGAATAATCATAATATAACAACAACGAAAACAACACCAGTCTTATCATACTTCATACGGCGTGCTTTCACGCAGGTCTTACAACTTTGTACACGACCTTCTGCAGACAAGATTTTATCTTGCTAGTTTTGTAGCTCGTATCGAGTTGTGTAACAAACCATAATTTGTTTTTAACGATATCATGCGCTAAGTCCTACAGGTAGGGCTCGAAATCCGATTCCTTAAATCAACGAGTTTCATTTTTTGCCAACATGATATGAAATTCTTAATTAAACCATTCGATAGAGCATAAAAAAGTTATCTCTATGCAATAATTTTTGCGCGCACACATAAAAATTCCGAAGTACTGGCGTTCTTGCAAAATCAGAAAAATGCGCTTTTTGCTGTAATTGAGTACTCTACAAAACCTACATGTGGACATAGAAACCATAATTGATTAGAACCAATATGAAGCTTAAACAATACTAGTTCGAAATAGCTGGATTGGATTTTCAGAATTCCTTCCTGAGTCCAGATATAGAACTAGCAAAAACCAGAAATTTTTGAAAACCCTATATTACACCTTCATTTTCTTGAGAATTACGCGCCGGAATTCGTTCAAATTTTTTAATGGGTAGTCTTCAGTAAGTGCTACCTCTGCCAAGAATCCTAGTTCCCCCATCATGGAGTCACAAAAGTTATGATGACTACAATTTCTTGAAATTCGCAGTGTTAAACCTTAAGATTTCTCGATCATGATTCTGAAACTCATCATTTCAACGATGTATATATGATAAATTTTTATGCTGAATCCAAATACATTCAAACCTGCAGCTAATATTTGTTTGCTAACATCCCAAACTTGGTACACGCTATAGTTACACAATTGTACAGCCTCTATGCGATGAGATACACAACCTTTTCGCTGAATATTGACTGAAATATTTCCCCACATAAGCACCCATATTCCATATTTGGATCAGCGTGCACAGCTATTACCAAGTTTCACTATTTGATAGATTCATTAAAAGGTAAACACTCGAGAAGAAGTAAAAGCCCTCAAGAAACTATGTTTATATATAGCTTTTCACTTAGTTCTCTATATATTAGAAATCTCTTGTATCAATGGGCTGCAACTATGAGTGTATTTGGATTCAGCATAAAAATTTACTTTCTATGCATCATTAAAATGATGATTTTCAGAATCATAATCGAAAAATCTTAAAGTTTAACATAGCGAATTTTAAGAAATTGTAGTCATCATAACTTTTGAAATTCCATGATGGCCGAGCTAATATTCTCGGCACAGGTAGTAACTACTGAGGGCTACTTATAAAAAAAAGTTGAGCGAATTATGGGGTCCAGTTCTCGAGAAAACGATGACCCAATATGAAGTTTTCAAAAATCCCTGGCTTTTGAAAGTCGGATATCTTAGTTAAAGAATGCATTCTGAAAATCTAATCCAACTATTTCGAACTAGTATTTTTTAAGCTTCATTTTGGTTCTAATAAATTATGGTTTCTATGTCCACATGTAGGTTTTGTAGAGTACTCAATAACAGCAAAAATCGCATTTTTCTGTTTTTTGCCGAAACGCCAGTACTTCGGAATTTTTATGTGTGCGCCCAAAATTATTGCATTAAGATAACCTGTTTATGCTCTATCCAAAGGTTTAATTAAGATTTTGATATCATGTTCGCAAAATCCGAAATGGTTTGGTTTAAGGGGTCAGATTTCTAGAAGCTCGAATTTTGAGCCCTACCTGTATGACTTAGTGCATGTTTTCGTTAAAAATAAAATATGATTTTCTACACAACTCGATACGAGCTACAAAACTAGCATGATTAAATCTTTCCTGCAGAAGGTCGTGTACAAAGTGGAATGACCTGCGTGAAAGCACGTAGGGGAGATAGAAAACAAGTTTCATTGGGTGAACGCGAACTATGCAACTTAGTAATCTAAGCCACAATGTGAGGTTAGATTTCTCGAAATGCAAAATCTCACATTTATGTTTTACAAAAAATATTAGCTTCTACTAAATCTAATACGTTTAAAGATGATTTTTATTTCAGAAAGCGTCAATGTTGTGGTCTTCGTATTTTATTACCATTTTGGTAACCACATTGTTACCGTTCACTGCTACAATGAAGGTCAAGAGCAGTTTGTTAACAAACGAAGCTTTCAGCTGGGCTGAATTGACGGCATCAAGAATGATTACCTGTCAATATGACAGCACTTCAGGATTGTGGAAGAATGAACTGAGATGGCAATCGGGAAATACATTAGAAACATTAGCAAACTTTGTATCTCTAATGGATTCACCATTAAGATCTGTCTTTCATCAAACATATATGAATACAGATATGTTTGTTGGTGGCGATTGTTTTGATGATTATCAATGGTGGTTACTAGGTTGGCTACAAGTATATAGTGTTGAGCCGAATCTAGACTATTTGTATCGAGCTGCCGATATCTATGACTTTGTCACTGTCAACGCATGGAATGACACTATATGTCGTGGAGGTATTCAATGGTGTCCAAAGAATGCTTATAAAAACGCAATTACTAATGAATTGTTTCTGGTAAGTAGTATGCGTTTGCATCCGTATGCATCATTACTTGCTCGACCTCCAACATATTTTCTTGACTGGGCTCTAAAAGAATGGCAATGGTTTGAAGCAAGTGGACTGATCAATGGTTATAATTTGATTAATGATGGATTGAGGTATGCATTTTCTCTAAAACGAGATATTCTTTCTATCTCTCTTATTTTTAGTTCAACCACAGAAACGATCAGCACATCGCATAAAGGAAATGTGAACCATTTTCAAGATGCTTCATGCGTCAATAACAATGGAACCACTTGGACTTACAATCAGGGTGTTATCTTAACAGGTTTAGCACTACTGTACAATTCAACAGGCAACGCCACTCTACTTGATATTGCACAAAAGATAGCTGATGCTACCATACAACGGCTGACCTACTCAGACTTAATATTAAAAGAACCATGTGAACCAAATTGTGACACTGATCAACAACTGTTCAAAGGCATATTTGTCCGTCATTTAGCCTATTTAATACCATACCTTACGGATGCAGCTCATATACAACAGTATAAATCATTCTTAGAACAAAACGCCGAATCTGTTTGGACATCAAGACAATGTGAACGTGACGGATTGTATAGTTTGATTTGGAGCAATCAGTCATCTGCTAGCTGCAATACATCACACAATTCATCAACAACATCAGCGGCATGGGATCTATTCGTATCATCTGCGAAAACGAAATCACTGTCAATCAAATCACCATCGAATTGGACGTATCTGGGTCTAGGCAACTGTGCGGATGATAAGAATGCTAGTATGCCAAACTTTAACAAAATGAATGTCACAAAAATTGAATGTCGTACAACAGCAGAACAAGACACTGGTGCCGTTGCATATGATCATCAATTTGGCTGTAATGGCATTCAATATTGTCGCATACGAACTTCGTCTGATCCGCATCAAACACCTCAAGGATGGAGTTATGAAAATGGTACTGCCAAAACTGTCACACGGTCGAATAAATTTCCGGTGACAAGTTGTTTTTTAAGAGTAGTCTAGAATGAATTGAAAAGTACTGAATAATGACACTTGATTACATGCATAAAACTTATACTATTGTAATTTTAATAATAATAATAAATTTCGAAATCAATAATAAGGGTTGGAAGTGGGGTAATATTTTCAGCATTCATAACCAGTTCAGTCAACATTAGGGGTGTTACTTTATATTTACTTTACTTTTTAAAGATAAATGAAATCTTTATATTTATACAGTAAAGATAACGATAATCTTTATCTTTATTTAATAACGATAAAATAAAGAATAAAGAAAAATATTTTTCCTGAAAAACCCCAAATTTCCTCTTCTCTCGATAGCTCGAAGAAAATTAAGAAGTTCAAGACTATCAAATTTTGAACACTAGATTTTTTTCCATGAATGATTTATCCCTCACCATCATTTGCTAGTATTATTTCATACTGCAATGTCAGTGATGATAAACAAGAACTGCAATCAATGTTTTCTGTTGTTATACAAATTATTCATCTATTTACCAGTGACTGTAGAAAATCTTTCTTTTTTCTTTCTTTTAACTTTCTTTTTACAAATAAAGATAAAGTAACACCCCTAGTCAACATACGAACCCTAAACGTGGATATATTTGCAATATTTGGTCAGGAAATGAAAGTACAAATTGTGATCAACCGATATTATCTAAGAGAGCAGACTCTTAGTTGCTAACTACTATAAAAATTTTGTTTTGTCCAAGAACTAAAAGGTAAAGACAGTGTGTGTGTGTGCGTGCATTGTAAAAAGCACGTATATTAATATACCCTTGAAGGGTTTATTACTTTTGTCCCATACCCAAAAAAGGATTTATTACAATTCTCATTCAGACAAGCGCCTTAAAAAACTCGTTAACAATCTTTCAGAAAAAAGAATCCAAAAACAAATGAGTACAGTATGATTCTTTTTCGTTTGTGGTTACAATGCACGTCACAACGTATTTTTTGTAATTTATCTACCAGATTAAAATTAAGGTTTTCGAACTCACTGCGTCGTCCTAGGTTCGATCATGAGATGAATTGGTTGATAGTCCAAGATGTCATCCATTCAGTCAGTCGTGCGATAAAAAGATGAAATAAGAGATGCTACTTAAATCGAACGAAATTTTATAGGAAACTGAAGGTGATATAAAGTTAAGCGGCACAATTGTTATTACATTTTTAATTTTCATGAAAAAAATACCAATATTTTTCATGTAAGAAATTATTCTTTTGAATATTTAAATAAATTAGGAAAAGTTTGTTTTTGAAATATACTTTCTCAAAAGGAATTTTAAAAAGATTTAAAAAAGCTTTGTTCCACTTTTTCAAAAATTTTCTAACATATTTCTCATTTTTCTAAAAATTTATAACATAATTATTTCTCATACTTTTATAAAATTGTTCATCAATTTTTAAAATCTTTATAAGTGCATATGTTAAAAATAGCACATATTTGTCTGGAGGAGTGTATATAGTGTGGGTCGTAAGAAATTCTATTAGGAGATGTAGATGCAAAATGTATCAAAATCATAAATACGGCATTTTTACGAAATTTTAAGATGTTTTAACGTCTGACAACATGAAAGCGTCAAAATATGTATTCGCTGTAACGCGGTTTTTAAGGCGCTTGTCTGACTGGGTTATCCCATATGTCAGAAATCGATCTTCATAGCTCTTTCCCATGTATAGTTTCGACGAATCTAAATAGAAAAAAAGAAATAGCTATTCATAAAATATTTTTATACTTGCATTATTTGTTTGATATTGAACTAAAGGTAGAAAAATATAACATTTATAAAGACATATGTGAAACGATATATTCACTTTGAATACATTGTATCAGTGGACCGAAATAAAAAAAACGAAATAATCACAGAGAAAGTTTTAATACTTCCGTTTTCATTTTGAATTTTGAATGGAAGTAAATAAAAGAAAAGATATAAATATATAAGTAAATCACCCTTATTTTTCATTAGCTGTGGCGACTAACCTAAATTAAAGACAACCTGAAATTATTTTTGAAATATTATTACTTGCATTATTTTGAGCTTATTTTCAACCAATTAAAGGAAGAATATAAATACATTGAATTAAAATGTCTACTTTAATTTGTTCTCTTGGATGGATGTAAAAACAAAAAAAATGTTTTCTGAATACCACAGCAAGCTTGGAATAAATCCTCAACCGCCATAATATCTTTCAGATTGATTTAACTCAAAGTTTTTGTATGAAGTTGCTCACGTGAAGCCATCTGATTTTGATTTTTAAACAATGTGCGGATTGAAGTTTAACTCGAAATTATTCAAAATTTATTAGAGAAATTAGCGCCTCTATATCATACCGTTATGTTTTACGAAACAGGTACAAAATGGACAGTGCATCGATGCATGAATGGCTGCATTGTGAGAAAATGATTGGATTAACATGTTTATTACATGAAACTGTTTGAAGCACCCTGTGAGAAATTTTCATGATATATATATATATGAGTTGAAAAAGTGTGATCCTTTGAACGAAGAATAGAAAACCTTTTTGATGATGAAGTAGAACAATAAATCCTTCACCGTAGAATAGAATACTCTTTTTAATAAAGTAATAAACCCTTTTATTGAAATCGTAGAATAAAGTACCCTTTTGCGAACAATCATTAACGCTCACCCTTGAATATTTAAACAAAATACCTTTTTTTTCATATACCCTTCGTATCATAAACCCTTCAAGGATTTATGAATACTTATAGACAGGACAAGCCTTTATTGATCTACGCTTTTTTTTACAGAGTACTTCATTGAAGCTTCTATTGACATATACTGTACTTTTTTGATTTATTTGCAGGCATATGAGCTCATAATTTTACGTACACTATATAAAAAAAAGTCTTATTAACAAAACATCATGCATTTTTTTAAAACTCTTTTAAGAGTTCTAACACATTTTCTTAGTACAAAGCATTTAGAAAAAGGTAAAAAGACAGTTTTGAAAAAATATAAATACAATAAGAAACCAAAATAGACCAAGAAAATATAGGAAAAAACTGATGTATGTATTCTTATATTTGCATATTTTTTTAATCTATCTTTTTTACTTCTCCACATCGTTAATTCGTTTACTTATTGAACGGATACCCCTTTTGAAAACTTGGTTTTAAAGATTTGGAGTCGAACTAGAAATACTAAAGCCATCTGATGAGATTTTGAAAATTGAGTTGACACGCGCTACGATAGCTTCCACTAAACGCTCACATCCTTATTAGTCGAGTTTCTTTTCTTTTGATACACATATTTGAAATAATTTCAGCACATAGGAGAAGCCTAGCTGCCGATTTTACATTAGACGGAATCCATTCCAAGAGTAGTCAGGGATTGTCTTTTTTCTTATATGCTTAGTAAGCATTCAGGTTATTACCATTTTTTGACAATAATCGATGCCTGCGTTTCAGGATGCTTTTGTTAATGGCGATTTTTTAATATTCTAGTAAGAGATTCAATAGTGTTGCGGTTGGCTACTATGTCTGGATGATCAGACGAATAAAATTGCTCGTAAATCTTGAGAGCTCTTTGACAGAACTCAAAGGCACTGTTGTACTTTCGTTCTATTATGTAAATACTGGCAATATTATTAAGGGCAGTTGCAATATCAGGATGGTCAGTTGGATAGTATCTCTCGTAAATGACGAGTGCTCTCTGATAAAATTGTAAAGCATTATCGTATTTTGCTTGCTTCTTCAAGACTAACGCGATGTTGTTCAGACTACATGCTATATAAGGATGACAGGCAGGATAGTGCCTTTCTCGTATTTGAAGTGCTTGTCGATAAAATTTAAGAGCTTCAATATATTTGTCTTGATCGTCGAGAACATTACCGATGCTATGAAGGCTTTGAGCAATGTCTGGGTGATCTTCAGGATAGTACTTTTGCCTTATTGTCAGTGCGCGCTCATAATAGTCACGAGCTTCGTCGAACTGTTGCTGTCTCTGTAAATCAATACCGATGCTGTTCAATACCGATGCAGATTCCTTAGTTTGTGGTGGATCGACACCCATCATCCGATCATAAGCACGATCATAGTATTCTCGCGCAATTATCCATTCGCCTTTATTATAATAAGCTCGACCGATGTTAAATTCAATGGAAGCACGATCGTCGTTTTCAGCGCTAGATGCCAATAAATTTTCAAAGTATTTTCGAGATTTATCATATTCACCCATATCACACATTAATCTTCCAAACATTATGGAAACCGTTTTTTCTTCATTGTCGCGACGTGCAATTTCAATGTAGTCATGTGTAATTGCTTTACCATCCGCAGACGCAACCATATTGACGAGCCATATTTCTCCAGTGTGTTCAATCATTTCGATTTGAAAAGTGGCATTCAAATCGAACAGAACTTCTTGTTCATTGGGGTACGGACTAAAGTTAGCCACATCCGCTAAGATGATTGAATCTCCTAATTGTTGCACATTACATTGGACTTGAAAAAGAACAGGTATAGCATTAGTTCGACTGGTTGGCTTTTTTGCGAATTCAAGTGCTTTTTCTCGAAGGCGACTTGTTGACAAATAACCGTTGGTCGAAATCGGTTTTCCTTGATTTATTTTAAGTCTATTGAGCTCTTCAATTGATAACTGTGCTCCTCTATAGAGATTCAATTCTGTTATACCTGACTCAACAAGTATTTTATGTTGCTGAGCTAAATTTCTTGAGAGATCGCAGATAAAAAATCGAAATGCATAAAGCTGATCAATATCTTCCGTTCTCAAAGCTTTGTTGACTAGTTTGTATACAAAAGATTGTTTTGTATACCAATGAATAGCTTCTTGAGAACAATACGTTCGCTCAAAATCATCAATTAGTTTCCATTGTCTTTCATTATCTCGATAATAATGACGACAGATATCGAGCATCTGTTTTTTTGCTTGTTCATTGCGGGGGAGACGTAGAATAATATAGGTGAAGAGTTGGAACCAGATAAATTCTGAAGATTGTTTGATTAATTCTCTCGTTGAACTTTGATGTTGATTGAAAAAACTGAATGTCTGGATTTGTTTGTAGACAAGTTCGGCTTGTTCTCGAATTGATTCACATAAACTTTCAATACTAACATAGATATCAACTAACTTCCGATATTCGTCTATTAGATGTTGATATCTGTTCTTTTTCTTGCAAAAAATGAAAATGCTATCGACTTGTTCTAACGTATGTGTACGTGGTAGAATTTCCGAAGAACGGGAACCTGATGTAACCAGGAAGATTTTTTCCTTTTCAACGGCATTAATATATACGATGCATGATTCAACATCAGTGTAAAATAAAACATAATCATTAATTTCACGTAATCGTTTCATTGCTAGTTTTGTATCATCGCGAGAACCAATATTTGGATCGAACCAAACCAAAGTTATGATCTCCTTATTCTCCTTGCTCGCAAGAACGCATTCATTTCCGGTAACGGCCTCTGTTGCACTACAAGATGATAATATGTTAGCCATTACTTTTCTAAATGAACAATATTTTAGCTACATATTATAATACACTCGAAATTTACAAAATAAAATGAAATCACAAGAAAAATATTTCGAAAATCAGGAAGAAACTTCATTTTGTACAAACTAATGAAGGTGTCCAATTTTCATTTCCTTTCACTTTCAAGCGTTCTGTTACACTTGAGATCAGAAAATAGACTTTTCTTTGCAGTATTAAAAGCAAATGTTGATAGTTGAAACAACGCAAAAAAATATTCTACTTCTTACTTCACAAAAGCGTCATCCAACCATCAGAATAAAAAAAATACTCAATGAATGTAACATTATTTTGATTGTAGTCTTTAGCAACGGTGATTGAAATGGGACAACTTGGAGATTTTTTTGTCAGAACACCAATAGAGGGCGTGCATGAAGACCTGATTTGTTGTATTATATATTTTTTTCATCATAATAATGTACAATGTTGTAATGAATAAAAGCATTTGATCTGGATGCTATGATAAGTAGAAAATTCTTTTTCTCAAGACTTTCGCCATAATTTTAACCGTAAACAAGATGCTGTAAATCACACGCCGTTCGAAGAGCATCACATACAGTACTATATTCAGATCTGTTTAGAGTTGTAATCCGTACGTAGTAATACAAAAATATATCTCATCCCACTACGAACAGCAAATCAAGATTAGTCGAACATCGAATCATGTATCTTACATAATTGGTGATTGACGATTACTCTGCAGTTCTTATATATTATGCAGATAGCTAGCTGACAATATATTTTTTGATCAGTCGTTTTTTATGTCAATTCATTCATTACTAATATTTTCGAAGAAAATGGTGAGTGTAAGTTATAAGTTGAACTATTTAGCTGCTCTCCTTCTTGTTGCAGACATTAGCAAATAGATGAAGCCCTAATCACATATCTTAGAAATAGTGTGGAACTGTTAAGTAATCTAGTTTGGCGTGAGCTTAGTGAATCTACAGCATGTGCGCAAGTTCCACATTTTAACAATAAAGGCACTCCGCTAACAAGTTTTTTTCATATCCATCTTCAACAAAAAAGTAAGTAATTTTAGCTGCTTTTCTTTTTCTCTCTTGTAGTATGAATTATGGTTTTCTACATAAAACTACTTACTCCCTGCTGTTTCTCAGCTGAATACATATCTATTTAGCGTGTGTCTTCTAGAGTGGGTTAGGTATAGTACGCAGGTCAGTCACTGAAACCCTGAAAACTCTCTCAAATAATGTATGATTCGTACTACAAGAAATAAAACCTTCTGGAACAGCTTGTTCTGGACTAAAAATGTGTCGTTAATACATTTTTTTAAGTTTCATTACACGCATGGTAAATGTAGAATCTCAAACCTTCGAAAGATGATAGACCTTTTGAAATGATGACCGATCTTCAGAAAATGCTACCTCTGATACTTTTACATTTCGATAAGAGGTTTTTTCTATGGCTGTGTCGTTTTATTTCCTTTGCCTCATTGTCATTCCTTCGTTATTTTTCTTTTTCTTTTTCTTTTTCGCATTTTTGTTTTTGTCTTGTTGATTTAATAATATTATTATTTTAAGTATTGCATCAAACGACCCACAGATTTATGAGTACAGTTTCATTGGGACTGGCATATGCAACTTACAAATTTTCTTCTGCTTCATTATATTATAGTACAAAATATATAGAGTATGAAATTCCTAACAGATGAGAATGTTTCTTTACATGATGAATAAATGTTAAGCATGGTAGTCTTTTTTATTTCGAAATTTTGAAAAAAAACTTTCGTTCTGTTCTCACAGGCACTCTAGCTTTCGCCATTATTGATGTGCTCACTTGTTTCTTTTTCATTTTTGTAACTCCTTTTTTCTTAATATAATATTTTACTGTTGTCACCATTGAATAAGATGACAAGTAATTTTACTCTAAATATCCATCACTTCATCAAGATGGCTCAGGTCTGTAATGCAAGAAAATCGACAGCGACGATACGTGATCGTTCATGAATGTAGTAGCCAGAAAATATAGACTTAAGTCGGATTCTCAATGTTTTATTATGACGATTCGTTTAGCAGAACAATTCATATATCAAACTTACACTAATCGAACTACCATAGAAAGTTCTATCAAATGGTGTATGATTTAAAAACAGTGTCTTTTCCAATAGGACAGAAGTAATGGAGTGTCCATTGGAGTTTTTAATTTGTCAATCTCTGTCAATTGGTCCCGTAGTCTAGCCGTTAATAAGCAGATTACTCATTGATAGAGAATTGAAAAACTCTATCAAACAGCACTTGATTTAACCTACATAATCATACTGCTTTGTTATAGGACCTGTCGACTGTTTTACTCGATTTATTTTGATTATAGATGTACCGAGACTGAGACTAATCTGAGACGATCAGATCGGGAGTATTGGATTAGTCTCGGCCTCGGTATATCCATCCTGTTGACCTACATCTACTCTGACAATCTGTCAGCCGAAGTGCCATATTCTTTAGTTCTTAACTCTCGGTTTGTGATTAACACCAAGACTATCACCTATGAATCACCGACCACACCAACATGTATGCATTATGGTCACTATTCATAGATTTTAAACATTAGCGATTGTTCATTTACATATTGTCAAAATTTCTGATTTTAGAACAGAACTTCTTGTTACTTAGGTACACTGTTTGCATAAAGTACAGTTCGCCAAGAATAATTCATAGCACTACACTTGTATTCGGTTCAGATTAATTTTACTGACAAGATGTCTTCCAGACCTAAACGTGACGATCAGCGACAATCTGTTTCAAGTGATGATGGTTTTATTGGTGGCCCATCGAACAAACTCAACTCGATCGGATGTATGTATCATTATTCAAGAAGAATAAATTATGAAAATTTTCCTTATTTACACGTTCTTAAATATTTGGGTCAAATGAAAGCTCTCACCGCTAAACTAACAGGACTAAAATATTAGCTGTCCTCGGCTTGCCTAGAGGAAGATATTCAATTTTTTTTAGATATTAATAGTGTATGTAGGATACTCACAAGACAAAATATGAAGCGAATTTATTGTTCTTTTCTCATTCTGGTTGGACAGAGCTCGTCAAATTGTATACGAAACAGTGTGCTTCAAATTTTAAAAAAGAGCGCTTAAAAATGCAGGAAAATCAACATTTTAGTTATTTCCCTGAATGTTTGAACATAATGATAACTTTGATGCTACTTAAAATTTTTTAAGCTCTCTTTCTTAAAATTTGAAGCACACTGTTTCGTATACAATTTGACGACCTCTGTCCAACCATATTGAAAAAAGAATAATAAATTCACTTCAAATTTTGCCTTGTGAGTATCCTACATTTATGCCTGAGGAAAATGCTAGATTGAGTATCTAAAAAAATAAGCCAAAAAGATGTCTGCGTTGTGGTGTTGCGTAGTAAAAAGCTCTTATGTGGGTTTCACTACGATTTAGAGAGCAATCTTGCATTTCTCAAGTACCAACAAAATTTAAGAAGCTTATTTGTTCTCGATAAAAACATTTAAGAATAAAAAGCATTTAAAAAGTTGTATTTTCTGTAGCGATTTCACAAAAAGAAGAAAAATACGATCAAATAGTTGGCTACAAAAACTGATTACCTCAACTAGTAGCATCTATAATAAAACTTGTACGCTTGTGCCATTTGAAACTGACCAACTATTTTAGGTTTAGTAGCTCCCGATGAACTGAAAATGATTATGAAATGTACATATTATTTTTCAGAGAGTAGAGGTCACTCGAAGTTATGAGTTGAAGCTGCAGCTTTTGGCATAGGTATCTGACTAGAGGTGTCAACCGAAGAGTTGAACGGCGGCGGTGGGCACCAATTTTCAATTTTTGAAGATTTCCAGCGGCTCGCTATTTAAATGAGTAATGTCTTCAGTGGCGGCTGCTACAAACTCTTAAATTATTTTTCACAGCGGCGGCGTCGGCTGATATTTGCAAGTTCTTATGTGACGGCGGCGGCTCAGTTAAAAATTCACTGATGAAAATTAAAAGAAAAATGTTCGAATCGATCGCATATGTATTGATGTCAGTGGCGGCGAATATCGCTATCAAAAATTTTTATCTCTTGCAATGGCGCAACGGCTAAACTTGTTTTCTCGTAGCGGCGGCTCCCCCAAAATTCTTAAAATTACCAGTAATTTGGTGGCTGCGGCGGCTCAACCGTACGGGTGACACCTCTATATATGACTACTCTTATCATCCTAAAGACATTCTTAGATTGACCTATACAACCTCGTGAGTCACCGAGGACCACTCAAAATACTATTATAGAACATGATGGGCTCCGCTTTACCACTCATAACAAGTAACGTTCATCGACATCGAAAGTCGATTCACTGGGCCCTAGACTGACAGTGCTAAGGAGAAGAAATGCATGGATAGGACAGAAAATCGGTTGTCTGTGGCAGCAGCTGGTGGTCATATTTTTAAACAGATCAGCAAAGGGGGTGGGCACAAGTGAAACTGAAGTAAGAATTAGACGAAAATTAAAGGTTTCAAGTAAAAGCACTAAAAGGGAAGACGAAACATGGACGGAATAGGACTCTAAGACCCTTAAGGCGGTGTAGAGGTTGAGTCTTACCTAGCTACAAAAAACAAGGTTCAGAAATATCGTGATGGTTAGCTCAAAGTTCCGTGAAGGGGATCAGTTCGCCCCTTCACTTACCAAATATCCAGAGCGGACTGTTTCCCGTGACCACGTCCTGCAGCCACCCATGGTTTGTGCCGTAACAATGCCCTTAGTACCATGGAAATGGTCGATTTTACCACAGGAATGGTCAATCGTGCCACAGGGATGGTCAATTGTACCATAAGATTGGTCATTTGTGCCATAGAAATGGTCATTTGTGCCATGCAAATGGTCAATTGTACCATGGAAGTGGTCGTTTGTGCCATAGAAATGGTCATTTGTGCCACAGAAATGGTCAATTGTGCCATAGAAATGGTCATTTGTGCCATGAAAATGGTCATTTGTACCACAGAAATAGTCAATTGTACCATAGAAATGGTCATTTGTGCCACAGAAATGGTCAATTGTGCCATAGAAATGGTCATTTGTGCCATTGTTACAGACAGACACAGGTGAATTACGGTTTCTAGGCCCTATCCTTTCAGTCTAGGGAACATAAATTCGGTCGTTTAAACTTTTATGAATTTTACCTGATAAATAGTTTCTTAAGATCAAGAAAGTAAGAGTCACTGCGGCGCAACCAAAAGAATGTAGGAAAATCAACCAATATGAATAAAATTCAACTATTTTTGAAACAGCATCGGTTACCTTCTTATGCTTCTAAGACAATAATTATATTTTAATATTTCAAACATATTTAATAGAATTGTCACGTGAAAATTTTTGCTTACAAAAACAATGGTGATTGAAAGTCCTTAAGAATAATCCCACCCGAATTCTATCCTCGCCGCATGATTGTTGATAGTGATGATGAAAATAAGTTTTAAATACTTTACAAATGGTCAACATTGTTGAATTGTTTGGCGAGGAAAAATCTTTATCTTACCGCATTTGTTTTGTAGAACAATAACGATCTGATTATTGACTAAGGGTGACACTTCAACTTTGTTTTTAAAGTTAAAGTTACAGTTAAAACCAATAGAGAATTAATCACGAAGATCTAAAAAATTACCTTTCACTTTAACTCGGATTTGTTAAAGTTAAATTGGTAAAGTGTCTTGCTTTAACTTTAATTTTAACTTTTAAAGTAAAGTTAAGGTGCCACTCCTACTATCGACTGTTGAGTATTAACACAAAAGTCAAAACTAATACGCTAGTATAAACATATAGTTGTATGTATTGAAACACATGGATTCAAGTATGACAGTGTTACAGTTATTTAGTTCTACAATAGTTAGTTCACATTATAAATCAGACTGTTGAATGTATATATTTGATTTTTCATTGTCAATAAAAAGTGCTAAAGGAAATTTTGAAGCGAACATTACTTAGCGTATTTTAATAGACTGCATATCTCGACATCGAACGTTAATTAGCTTCTATACATTTCGATATTCCATTTTGTAAAGTCCACCCCCCCCCCAGAATAGACGGCCACTCTATATTACAAGGCCACCCCTGTATAAGTCCATGTTGCGACAAAAGTTCAAGCGCTCTATTCAAGGGACAAACAGCAGACTTTTGGACTTCAAGTTACTTTGAGCTACTTGAAGGTTCTAGGATATAGGTAGATCTTCTCGTTTAGCGAAGTAACGCTGACGATAACCCTAGGTGTGGTTACATCGTCTCTAATAGATTCAAACCAAGTTGAGGATTCAGCGATACTCCAACGATTTTCTAATTTGAGGTTGGCTGTAAAGAAAAGTGTTTTGGAGAAAATATTGATACATTATAAAGGTTGACGAAAAAAAGTCGGGGTCGGGGAGGCCGAATCTGAGGTCAATTGGCGTTGAAAATCCATGGATGATCGAAAACCAATAGGACCTGAGTTTTCAGAAAATGGATTCCTACGAGTAATTCGAGACCGTGAGTTTGAATCTGAGTTTCATTTCCCCCGAAATTCAACTGGTTGACCAAGAACCAAAAGGAATTGAGATTTTCGAAAAATCGCTACCCATCGGTATTTCTAGTTACAGAGTTCGAATATAAGTTCAATTTCCTTCAAAATCCGATTGGTGGACCAGTAGCCAGTAGGAGTCAAGTGTTCACGAAAATGATTTTGTAGACATAATTCTAGCGGGGAAGTTCGAATCTGAGTTCTGTCATTGTCGAAATGCTATTGATCGGTCAGGAGTCAATGGAAATTTCAATTTTCAGAAGAATGGAGCTCATGTTCGAACTCCACGACTTGAAATACCTCTAAAAAAGTATTGTCTTGAAAATTCGATTCCAATTGGCTACTGACTCACCAATAGGATTTCGTGCTGAATACAACTCAAATCCAAAGTCTCCGTCTGAAATTAATCCTTGAAAATCATTTTCGCAAAAAAAAATTTATTCCTATTGACTCCAGATCTGCCAACACCATTTCAAGCCAATGAAGCTCAGATTCGAACTTCTAGACTTCAAATACTGACGGGACCAATTTTTCGAAAATCTCAATTTCTATTGGTTCCTAACCGGCCAATAAGATTTCGAAGTAAAGGAAGCTCAGATTCGAACTCAGGGGCCCTGAGTCATGTCCTCGCATTACCACTAGAAATACATTTTTCTGAAAACTTGATTCCTATTGATCTCTGATCATCTCATAGGATTTCGAGGCAAATGGACCTCATGTTCTGACTCCCCGCCTCGAATTACCCGTAGAAATCTATTTTCCTGAAAACCGGATTCCTATTGGTTCCGGGCCACCAATATGTTTTCGAGACCGATGGTGCTCAGTTTCGACCTGGTTGACCCCGACTACCTTTTGTCAAGCTTTATAAAAAAAAAACCATTCCTTTACAGTCAACATGAAATTAAGAAATTTTTGGGGCACTGCGTAAATGTTCAACTCGGTTTGAATCTATTAGGGGCAGTTTAATCATACCTGCGGTTATCGTGTTGAGATCTATAACCGTAGTACGATATAATGGTGATTAACCATCACCATTGCATCGCCATTCTTGATTTTTTATTGTACTTGAAAGTACTTCAAGAGATTTTGATGGTACTTGAATCAGCAGTGGCAGAATTCTCACCAAGCAAAAGTCGAGAATTCTGTTCATTTATAAACTATGTTATATTCTTTCTTTCCTGTGTTATTTTCTTTCTTTCCTGTGTTATTTTCTTTCTTTCCTGTGTTATTTTCTTTCTTTCCTGTGTTATTGTATACACACACACACACACTATCTTAGATCGACAACAGAATTCTAAACAGAATTGATCATTTACCAGCAGAATTTTGTAAGAATTCTGTATTCTCTACAGAATTTTGTATCAATACAAGAATATATATATTTCTAATCGAAACGGAAGTTTTTCTTAGAACTTTGTTTAAAAGTAGAATTATGAGTTTGTTATGAAGCTTTCCTGTATTTTATCTGAGGAATATTTTGAACTGGAATCAGAAGTTGAATATTCAGGTTTTGAAGAATTTTTCAAATATAATTACCATCTGCTGAAATACTTTATTATTAGTGTCAACCTTATCGCTTTATTTTATGCAACCGTTTTGATATGAATGTTTTCTTAAATATTTTCTCATTAAAATTTCCATACCTGAATTCAAAAATGTTGACTTGTCGATTAATTGAGTTTTACAAAGAAATCAATGCAGAAAAAAAGATTTTCAACACAACCCCATTGGGTCTAAAATGTGGAACTCACATATGGATTACTTAGATAAATACTAGCTCAATAGAGGATTTTCTTTTCTTTAATAGAACAAGTTTCATAATGTTTTTTCGGAATAAGATAGAAAAAAAAAGTTTTAACATTTGGAAGTTATTGAATATGTTAACAGTGAATTGTAGTAGTACGGAGAAGATATGAAGATGATATAACTATTGATATTGTTGATAAAAAATGTTGAGAGATTTTAATTATTTTTTGATACGAGTTGGGTACTTGATATAATTTATAAAGATATATTTAACAAAATTTTTCGACCAAATGGAACAAGTGGACATTATACATATATTAAAGAGGATCGAAGCTGTTGCTTATGTTTGGCTAATTTATTATCATAGATTATCATACACATTTATAAAATAAAGTTTCGTTCATGAAATAATGACTACCTTGAAATGATTGAATGTAACAATTATTCACTACATATGATAATTGATCCTCTCTCAAACGAAAACTTTACATCATAATTTTTGAGATTAGCTACTTTAATCAAATGCAAACCTTTAAACAATATGACTCGATATATTGTTACAAAAATTTTCAATTAAACTATTGGTTTATTACTGATATTAGATTTAAGAATAAAAATAAATGATAATATTTTTATTAGTTTAGTTGACCTAACAAAACTCTTGTACCAAATAGAATTAGAAATTATAATCGTTCATATCTAAAAGTTCTCAAAACAATTTTAACTGTAAATATTTATTCTGAATAATATGCGCGCCATATTTATTAGTTGTTTTTGGTTATGTTCTATTAAGATAATTAAATATTGTGATGATAACAATATATTTGTCTCTTTCTTTCTCTCTATTATCCATTTATTAGCCTTTTATTTTCTCCTCTATCTTCTCTCTGTCCTTCTCTCTCTCCTTTGGGTATATAAGCGTGTGCTATGCATGTAAACAATGTGGCGAATTTTGATAAAATAGATGCTTGTAATGATGTAACTACGATTTAGTCAGCTTCTTTATATCATAAATCGCATCATTTACACAGAGAGTACAAGTTAATATAACCAATGAAGATGAAGAGAGAGAGAGCGAGGGAGAGAAAAAAGAAAAAGAACGGCTAATAAATGGACAATAAGAAGAAAAAAAGAAAGCAAATAGATGAGTAACACAGAGAAAAACGATGACGATTTATTGGTTATTCGAAAACATATCTCTACACATGAAAACGTAGGATTATTCTTATGCTAATACACAATGAATGACTGAAACAATTGTTTTTTTTAATATAAAATACACATGACTTATAATTCGACGATTGTTGTTTAATTAAGAATGTAAAATACCATTTAAAAGAACTTTTTCATATGTACAATTTTCTATCTTAAAATAAAACCCATGTAAAAAAAATTTGATATTTAAACATTGTTTTCCTATTTAAAATAAGTGCTAGTTCCATTGATATCTTTTCATTTCTTATTTCATGTTCTCAAAGTAGAAAAAACTATTTTATGAATTCTTTCAAAGCATTGATATATCACCACAATTAATATTTATTGGCGATTATTAATTTCTATTTTTACTCCTATGCACAGCTAAAAAAAAGTCTGAAATTAATACTTAATGTAATCAGCCTATCATACATAATCTATAATATGTCTTATAATAGTAGAGAGCACTTTTTGAGGCGTCTAACAGAATTCTGCAAGGGAAACAGAATTCTGACAAAATTCTGCTGGAAAATGATGAATTCTGCTTAGAATTCTGCTTTCGACAGAAGGTAGTGTGTGTATGCAGTAACACAGAAT